TGGTACATGTAATGGTATTTGCGAACATTAGGTGTAGGATGAATTCATCACCTCATATCCTTTGGATATGGTAAAGGGATTTGCATGTTTCTGGACTAGAGCAACAAGATATATCTGGGCATTAAACCAACATAGGCTACTGCGAGCACATCAAACCAGTCCTCTGCTCTCTACAAAGAATATTAAATCAAGTTCAAGGCTCTCAATGTCCTGGGCCCAGGATATCTAAAAGATTGCCTAAAGCTCCAGGGTGAGGACTGTAGTTGACAACTCGGCTCCTCAGCCACAATGGGACGTTCCACTGCAAGAGTAAAGCTCATCTGTGCAGGAAACAGAGTGTTCGCAGGTCCTGGACTGTGGAGTGAACTTCCACAGGAACTAAGGACCATCACTAACCTTGCACCTTCCACCCCAAGTGCAAGGGCCACTTCTTAGATTGTACCCTCCCTAACATAAAGCAGCATGTATATGTTAAAACAACTCTTAAGGAATAGATGAGTGAAAGAATGAACCTGACTGGACAGTTGTTAATCCCATTGTTTAATGCACTTCTGGAAGGTGCTCAGATACTGCAATGATGAGCACAGTATCAGAACCTGTAGAAAAGAGAGGAGACCCTTCAGATGGGGATGTGCACTCTGCCTTCCTAAGACTAACTTCTCCAAAAGTGTGACGTGGACGGTCTGCACCCATTAAATAACAACTTGATGGCCATGGAAGTTTCTCATACGTTTCTCATGTGTTCGCCTGTCACAATGAACAAGGGTGTTGGGATCTGAGTAGGAACTATTGATAGCAGGATTCTTATCCTGCCATATTTTCATTCATCTGTCCCCTGGAGGAGGCCAGTAGCCTGCTCAGAATCTCTTACTCTAGCTCATAAGCTGGAGTATCGTTTGGTTCCACCTCATCCACTGGACGCTCATTTTTGCATAATGTGGAATCATGTACCACCATCCTTGACTCTCCTACTTCCCCTATGTAACCTGCCCATATGCCCTGTTGAGCAGAGATATATAGCAAAGTGTGCAGGCCCGAGTTACAAGTTCCTTCGCCCTCTGCTGCATCTGGAGTAGGCTTTAGTCCACAGAATTTGCACATAAGCGCTGTGGTTTTCAGCTGCCTCTAGAGATCCACTGCCTCTTCACCTGTCCATCTCAGTTCTGAATTGAGACAAGTGTCATCACCAAATGAGACTGTAAACTCCAAACAAAGAAAAAGCCTATTTGCGCTGATCCTGTAATCCCTGGATGTCAAAGAACCTTCAGACCAGGCTCTCTAGATGGTCAGAAACTCAGATCTATGAGGAACACTATTCCAATAAGAGTCTGTTTTACACAATAAACTAAGTGGGTTACATCACAAGACCCTTTTGCTGAGGTTTTTTTTTCTTTTTCTTTTTTTCCAGGCATAAGGACTATAGCTCAACAGCAGTTTAGCAAGTCACACAGATTAAAATAAACAGTAACATGTTGGCTGCAAGATCAGCTATGAGAGAGGCTCTGGTACTTCAGACCTCCTAAACCAGGAATATTTCATAGACAAAGAAAAAGCTGGAAACCAATAGAAATCAAGGCTTTTCTGTGTTTCTGAAGGAAAGGAAGTAGGAATACAGACAAAAAAAGCAGCATAATCAGCGGCTAAACTTTATACTGTCACATGGTTTTATACTAAACAAGATAAACTGTGGGGAGCAGGGAACCATCAATGTGGTAGTATATCTAGTAGATCAATGTATTTAAGTATTATCAACCTAGTTAATATACTACTATAAGCTTTTCAAAAGCATGTTCTACAAGGAATATTACAATCTATTTTCCAGAGAATGAACTGTGGGTTCATGTATTGTGCATTTGGTCATCATTTTGAAGGTTTAAAAAAAACAAACAAAAAAACCCTGATAATTGGGTCTGATCCTGATATTACTAATTCCAGTTTCACACCAGCGTAAAGTGCACAGCTCTGCACTCAGTAGAGTTATTCGGATTTATGCTAATTCCAATCAGAGTACAATCAGGCTCCATCTCTCTCAGTTCTTGGAGAGAAGTAACATTCATTAAAATTTATTTTAAGTGTAATGGGAAAAGTAAGATGTGTTGGGGAGAGCAAATTTGGTGACTGGGGAGCTAATTAATAAGTGATCTCTGAGATAGTCAGTGTTTACAAACATTGGCCCAGATCCTACAATGTAGTGAATATGGGTGGGCCCCCATTAAAATCATTAGGTTCCATGTGGGTGAAGTTTGTTCCCACAGAGTTTAAAAAGTAGGCTGGGGCCATGATTATTTCTTATTCTTCCCATCATTTATCACTCCAGACATTTTCATGGTTTTTGAAAGTATAATCATAGAAATGTAGGACTGGAAGGGACCTCGATAGGTCATCTAGTCCAGTCTCCTGCACTGAGCCAGCACTAAAAGTATCTAGACCATCCCTGAGAGGCGTTTGTCTAACCTTTTTTTAAAAAAATCCAATGACAGAGATTCCACAACCTCCCTAGGCATCTGTATTGTATTTTAAATGTATGCAGGCAAATTTAGCTGACTTAAGAGGGGAAAAACATTTTTTCTGAATAGTGTTACATAGAGCTACCTATATGTTTACAAACAAGTTTTATAGCGAGGTCTATAGGAGATCATTCATTTAAGGCAAAATTCCCATTCACTCCGCTGGTCTTTAGATCAGGTGCTTTATTGCAGGAAAGGCAGAATAATGGCACATACATCTGATGTTTAAACTCCAAATACCCTGCCTCACACAGTGTAACTGAGTTGAATAACTACCTGTTTATTATTATTCTATATGCCTAGATATTAGCATAACTAAAAACATGGGGGAGAAATGTCATACACACACCCACACACCTCTACAAATATAATTATAATTTCTCTCTCTCTACATTTCACAATAGATCTTTATGGAAAACACTGTATTACCTACTTTGTCTTAGGACCTTTATTATGTACAAATGTTTAAAATAATAGTCTGATTCAGAATTTTTTAGAATCAGATGGCCAGCCAGGACTGCTACTGCCACACTTCTCAACCATATAGATATATAACTCACTACCTGCATGTTGTGCATATACCTCATTTATGCAAAAATATATTCCTACTATGTTACCTTTTGCTCTCTTATCTAACCTCTCTGCTTGTTTGTTACAGCCATTTGATATGTCTGTTATCAACTTCCTGTGCAGGCATCCATGCATGGAGCAGCTTACAGGATTGGGCTCTTAGATTGGGGAAGGAATTGTTTCCTCCTTAAATATCTAGAAAGTGTCTTGCACCATAGGGCCTCCAGTTGATTTGAAGCTCTAGCCACTACTGCAGAACAAAGAATGACTAATAATAACAAACCGTCAGAAATTGCTGAAATTCATTTGCTTTAAGGAGAAAGAAACCTGTTCCAGGCTAGAGACATTCTGCATAATATATATATTAATTATATATATAAAGCACAGGAGCTGATCCAGGTCTCAGGAGTGACTTCTTTATCTACATTTGGGACTTCTGAGAATTATAATAGAAAAAAATCTAGTTCAGATGATCCGGGCAATTATTGAACAATACTTGTTAGAGACAGAATAATCTGAAGTGTGTGTAAATTGCGTCCGCTTTTTAAATTTGATTTTATTTCTTGGTCTGAAATATGCCTATTTACACTAGTTTAAACTTAAGCCAGAGATCAAGGGTCTGCCCTAAATTATCCCAGCATGAATCACTAATAACTCTTTTGAAGTCAATGCAGTTACACCACTAGGATCAGAATCAGACCCACGAAGTTGAGCAGTGTGCAATATGCACATAACTGGGCAGGGTGCTGCAATCTGATGTTGGCTTGCTATGCTGTTTGCAATGTTAATGGTCTGCACAGTACCTTCAGCTGGGTAAAGATGCCAGTCACCACCCCTCAGACACAGAGAATCAGACCCAGAGAGACAGGAAAACCTGACACTCCTGGATTTGTGTGAAAAATTCTCAAAGAAAATTCTTTCTCTCCCTCCGGCCCCTAAACTCTTTGTGAATGGGGCCAGTGCAACATGTGGCCTTTCACCCCGCCCAAGCACCATTGCCAGACAGCCACACTCAGAGAATTGTTTGTTAATAGTCCAATTAGATAATTGCCATCTTTCACTCCTTTTGCTCTACATTTCCCATAAAGGAATGAATAAGGAGAGCAGCATGAAGAGGGCTTCTGCCCTACAAGGTGACAAGAAGGGCTGGAGCATGCTCTTTGCACAAGGCCATTTGCTTGAATTGAATCATTGTAGCCTAATCAATGGTCTTATTGGATTACTGGCTGTTGCGGTTCTCAAAGATATTGTAGCAGAGACAATGAAATAGCCAGGGTAAAACTTTTTTTTTTATCCTTTAGTAGATCACGCAGTGGAGATTTTTCACGGGCTATCTCTCTCTCTCCCTCTCTCCCCTCCTGGATCTTTCTGAACACAAAGCTGGCTTCTTTTTTTCTTTTTTTTTTTTTCCCTTTCAATGAGCAGGCTCTACCAATTGGTTCAGTGTTTGTGAAGGTGCAGAATTAGCACACACACACACACAGAAAGCAAGCATCTGAACTGAATTAAGGAGAGGTAGGAGTTTAAGATGGCTGTCTGTGGAGAGATGTGTTCAGGAGGATTTCTGCTGGGCTGATCCTCGACTTCCTTGGATAGACCCACTCCAGAGGAAAACTTTTTTGTGTGTAGTGGTTGGCTTGTTTTGTTTAGACTCCAGGCTGCTTTTCTGCAATTGCATTTTTTCAGCCTTTCCTAGCAGCTTTATTCAGATTTATTTGGTGTGTCTTGGATAAAGCCACTATATAATCTGGAGGGTCAAAGGCAGACTGAAGAAAGTTAATAATGGCTGCTAATGGTGCTAACAATTCAGGGTGAATCTTGTCAAAAGTTTTTTTTTCCGCCCCCCCTTTCTGGAAGTCTCAGTCTTTTGATTGTGTGTTTCCTGAAAGCAAGACCAATCATTTCAGTTTATTCACTGGCTAAACTCTACTTGATTGGGGACAAGCACACAAACCATCCATTACGATCTGATATATTATCCAAACAATTTAGTGTATTCATGAGGTAACCTAAATGTGGAGGCTGCAAAATTACCCGTAATCAATTGAAACAGCGAATGCGCGTCCCTCTGTGTGTCTAACAACTACATGTCTCTGTAATAAGGCAGACATTAAATCATTTTGGAGTTGTACTGTTGAGTACCTGATCACTGGGGCTCAGGGAAGCTGGACAGTCACATTAGGACGCAGGGATTGAGGAAGAAGCAAGCTGCCTTTCTGTTGGGATCAAAGCCGACCCTTCCTGGCGAGAGGGGCTTTTCCACATCCCCACCGACCTGACCGCAGGCTGTGCAATATCCAATCTAGACTTTTCTTTTCTTTTCTTTTTTTTATTGCACTACATGTTTGGGAAACAAGACAAAATGGACGTTAGATGCAATTCAGAGGCTGAAGCGAACCGGGTCTCGAAGAACGGACATAAAGAGGGCAAGGAAAGCAAAGGGTCTGAAGGAAATATTTCTACTTCTTTTTTGAAGGATCAACAAGGGACTTATTCTGCCTCGGCCGTTTCGGAAGATTGTAATAAAAGTAAATCTAGTTCTGCAGACCCGGACTATTGCAGGAGGATCCTAGTTAGAGGTAGGAGTTTTGGAGGCATTTTGCGTGTGTGTGAGCGAGAGATCGGAATTTTTATATAAAAAAAATATGTTGGGGTTTCGAGATGTTCCTCTTTTACTACGGATGCAGAGGGGGAAATACCGCTGTAGATTGTAATGCAATATTTCCAGTGGCAAGTGGTTCTAAGTCTAGAGCTGTTTTATAGGGTCTGATTATTTTTTTTTTTGGTATCTTTTATTAATGTACTCCTTTGGTTCATGGGAGAAGTTTATCTGCATTACATTTGTTTTCCACTTTTTCTTGGTGCCTCTTAAACACCAACCGTTGTGGCTGTGAAATATTATTTACAGCCTTTCTGGATTCGCCATAGACTTTCCAAACGGTGCCCTCTTCTACAGAGAGCATTGCAAGTGTCAAAGTCCCCCTCGGCGGGGCTAACGGTATGTCCGAGTGGATTTTGATCAATGCAATGAATAAACAGCGATCGCTGTTTAAATTCTGTAACACCTACAATTCCCTGCCCCACGTGAAAGTCCTTGCTTTAGCTGCTTCTGCACACCTCGGACACTAGAAAGGAGACGCCCGGAGAAAATAATGGATTTCACTTTTTGCATCTGGGTGCATTTGTATTGTTTGTGGGGGTTTTGGATTTTTTTTATTTTTGTGTGTGTGGAGGGGATATATAAAATGTAGGGGTTTCTGCTGTGTCCTCTGTCCCGGTGTCCATAATGTGAGGTGGAATTGACGGTGGAAGAATTATTTGTTAAACAATCACTGTTTACATAGCTTTAAAAAGAAGACAGGAGGGACTGAATGGGGTTTCTGTATATTTACTGTTTTTATTTCCCTCCTCCCCATCCTTCGGATCATTTCCCGGTCCACTAATGAAATGATTTTATAGTGCTCTGCACAAATTACCCGTGGAAATTACCGTTTTATTAAGGTGTGTGGGAAGAGGGGAATAGAATTATAATAAAATTAGTGCAAAGCAGGCCTTGTAAACAATAATTAATCCTTGCGCGACCGATTGACCCCAGAGAGGGGTCAGATTGAAATGATGTGGTTATCTATGACTTAAAGTGTATTATGGAGGTAAAATTACGGAAAGCAAGGCTGGGAATGCTTTAGTGTAATCTGAATCTAACTCTAGCATGACAGTTGTGCTAATAAGATTTGTCCTGCTTTCTTTAGGCCGGTACTAAAATAAAAGTGAGGCTTCTCTGTGTGGTTTGTTTTAATTTTTTTCCCCCTTACCCTCCTGGCATTTTTAAAGAGGAAAGAATCGGCCATAACTATGCCTCTCCCGTGCCATTCAGGGGGCGAGATGCATTTAAAATCCCAAACCGCCCCATGGTGAAACGAAACATTTTGTAAACTCGAAATGGTCCTGCCCAGGAACGGCTGTACAGTTGCGTTTTGGCTTGCTAGCCAATAATAACAATAACCCAGCAGCACCAACGAATAACCCGACAGTGAACAGGGCCCACGAACGGTTGGTGTTTATTACAGCACTGAGATCAATTAGTGAAATGTATTAAACGCCCTTAAAAAGAAAGTCGGGCTGGGGGAATTATTTACAGATCTCTGACCCGAGCGCCTCCTTTTTTCCTGGGTACGGTAGCCCCATGCGATGCCCTGATTTTACCAGCCCGATTGCTGCCTGGTTAACCTAAGCGATCCTGGCGTTGGGTGAGTTGCCCGGCAGCTCTTTGCGTTGCTCCGAAAGCGGTTCCTTGGTGTAAAGTGATTGCGCGTTTCTTTGCCAGATGCCAAAGGTTCAATAAGAGAGATTATTCTGCCTAAAGGACTTGATCTGGACCGCCCCAAACGGACCCGAACGTCTTTCACCGCGGAGCAGCTGTACCGGCTGGAGATGGAGTTCCAGAGGTGCCAATACGTGGTGGGACGGGAAAGGACCGAACTGGCCCGGCAGCTCAATCTTTCGGAAACTCAGGTAGTGCAGAGAAAGTACCTGCTGCTGGGCACCTCTGAGACCTCTTCCCCTCCCCCTCCCCCTTTCCCTGAGTCCCAGCACAGACACACTCCCCTCAGGGATACAGCTGAAGCCTCGTCCACATAAACACCTGCTCACAGACTTACATCGACTAGACAGGCAAACGTTTCTGTTTCCAGAGCCCACTGCCTGGTTCACACAGGATCACAGGCCTCCTGGCAGACACAGGCGCTCACTTTGTGGCAAACCATTTCCCCACCCATAACCACAGTGATCTGTGAATATTCACCCTCAGACACAACCTGACACCCAGGCTTACAGAGAGAGAGGGGGGGGGGCGTGCTACACCCTGAAAGAAAATACTGGGGCTTAAAGTAGCTGACAACTTGGTTTGGTCACAAACTGAGCTACAGAATGTAGCAAATCTCTTCTGGAACTCAATAAATGAGGGCGAAGAGGTTTCTGATGAGACATTCAGTACACAATGTGCATTATCAGAATGATGCGTGGGGGGGGGGGGAGGTTGCTTTCCAAATATGTGGCATTGAATTCCGGGCTGAGAGGTGGGGGTGGGAGGTGTCCAGATTTGGAAGGCGATAGAGTGTAAGCAATGCAAACCACCTTTCATAACACAAGTCCGCATGCAGGCAGCTGTCACTGTTTGCACAGCTCCAATGCTTCCCATGAACTGTCGGGTGGATTCGAATTAAGTTTTATGCCCTTTTCAACAGTTTAAAAAAGTACGCTACTGACAAGCATATAATCAACAAGTACAGAGATGATAAATGATTTTCTATTCGATATATTTACTTGCCCCTCCAAACTTCTCGTTTGATTTTGCCTGTTAATGTGCTTTACATTGATTTTTGTTTGTTTGTTTGTTTATGTTTGGAGTGTGTGTGAGTGCGGGGAGGTGTTTTCACAGAATCGCATGGAAAAAACCTGTCCATGTGCAATTTGGCAATGAAGGGAGCTGGAATCGTGCTGCGTTAAAATTGACTAATCTACAAACTCTGTTTTGTTTCTAATTTCCTTTTTACCTGGCGTGGGGGCGGGGAGGGGTTGCAACACCGGCCATATTTTAAGTTTTCAAATGCAAATTTGACAACAACAAAAAGTATTCTTTGCATCTCACAAGAATCAGGTCAGCAGGTCAGGTCCCTAAATTACAGAGGGAATTGGCTCACCTTATTTGCAACAGAGGTTCTGGGCGAAAAAAAATCTCTCCTCTAAAAAGTTAGAGATTCTAACTTTTTAGAGAGAGAGGGTTTTTTTTTTCGCTCGGAACCTCTGTTGCAAAATAAGGTGAACCAATTCCCTCTGTAATTTAGAGTCCCCGGATCTCTTCCTGCAGTGTATGGAACAGTGTCTGGCATAGGAGGGGACATGGGAAGGAAATACTGTATAGAAGATACTCTGCGAAAGGGAAGGATAATGTAATGAGACAGAGAAAAAATAATTGTATTATTAGCTGCTTTGGGGAAAAACGCTAGAAAATCCCCAGTGCTTCATAACAGAAAATAGACAGCTGGTAAATAGTCCAACTTTTGTATGTGCCCCTGAATTAAAATCTGGTGTATTTATCTTTCATTCCTACCTGTTATTACAGGAAATAGATTGGTGGACAATAGCAAAGGTTCTGCCCCGTGAGACTGCATCTCTTTTTGTTTTGGGGGATGAGGGGGGAGTTATTGACAGGGCAGTGAACAGAGTGCCCTGTATGATTGTGCACTGGTCAGTGAATAGTTATGTCCGTTCGAACAATTAAAAGTGCAAGGGGGGGGGGAATAACCCCAAAGTCAACGAAAAAAGAACAAACTTCTAAAGCCCGGTTTGGTATGTCGTTAAAAGATCAGCCGGTGTAATAAATCCCGCTGACAAGCTAATTAGCCTTTCTTTGCCGTGGGACAGGTATGACAAGTTAAACAGTCTCGGAGGCTATAGAAATATAGATTGTATTTCTTTTAGTTAAAATCATATTTAAAGGGGCCAATGGGGCTCTGACCTGCTATGAGATGCTTCTGATATGACCTTCTCGTTTGGCGTGAGAGAGGCAGCTGGAAGGGAAGCGAGAGAGAAGAACCACGTTACTGTCACTGGATGAGCCGATAACGCCACGCTGCCAGGGAGGGAAGTGGAAAGGAGTGTGCAGTTTAGGGGCCTGCTGGATTGTTCCGGGAGGGGGGGAGTGTGCCACCCGCTCCAAGTTTAAGGCTGGCTCTGAAATAAAACTAATTTAAAGAGTCCGATCCTGCTACCACTGAAACCCACGGCGATATTTCTGCTGTCTGCATGCGAGGGGAACCCGGGCCCTTTAAGGTGCCTCCCGGTGCTACACAGCTCCCAAAGTCAGAGCTCATTAATCCTAGGCAGGATTCCCCCCCCCCCCTTCGTAAAAAGTGCTGCTGAGTGGTTCATTTCAACTCCCTAAGCCTCCCCCGGCCCCAGACTCTCCGATGCAGTGTAAACCCCCTATTTCGGAGTGGTCAAGCCGGCGTTCATTGTCCAGCCCCAGGGCCGGGGCGTGGGGGAATGGAGAAATGCCGCAATCCCCGAGCCCCTTGGCCGCCGGGCTGGGCCCTCCGCCCCGCTCACCCTGTGCCTCTCTCCCCAGGTAAAGGTCTGGTTCCAGAACAGGCGCACGAAACAGAAAAAGGACCAAGGCAAAGACTCGGAGCTCAGGTCCGTGGTGTCGGAGACCGCCGCCACCTGCAGCGTCCTCCGGCTCCTGGAGCAAGGCCGGCTGCTCTCCCCGCCGGGACTGCCCGGCCTCCTGCCCCCCCTGCGCCACCAGCGCCTTGGGCTCCGCGCTGCGGGCCCCCAGCCTCACCATCGGCACCACGGGCACCACCAGCTCAGGGACCGCGGGCGGCTCCCCGCACCCGCCAGCGGTGAGCAGCGCGGCTGGGCCCCCACAGGCTGCGGGACTCCACGCCTCGCCCAGCGCCGGCCATAACCTCTTCAGCCTGCCCGTGCCCACCCTCCTGGGCTCGGTGGCCGGCCGCCTGTCCTCTAATCCCTTGACAATGGCCGGATCTCTGGCAGGAAACCTGCAGGAACTGTCAGCCAGGTACCTGAGCTCCTCTGCCTTCGAGCCCTACTCCAGGACCAACAATAAAGAAGGCGCTGAGAAAAAAGCCCTGGACTGACTCTGAGTAACTCCATGTATTTATATTTATAGTATCTATTTGTGGCGATATTTATGGAATAATGACACGTTAGCATCTCATCAGCCCTCCCTTCATTCCCCCCCTCCACACACCATCCTGCCATAACACCCCCCCCACGACCATGCTTTCCTAGCCAGACTCATTGCCGAATGCAACAAGGAACGGAACTATGTTTAGAGGAGAAACCATGAAGTGGACAAACACCTCACCCGAGTGTAGCTGCTAAATAAACGGATTCCAGACAAAACAGCCGGGAAGCACCACTGTTAGTGATGGAGACCCCTTTATTTTAGCGTGGGGGGTGTGAGGGGGGAAAGGCAGGGTGGGGGAGGTTTGCAGGCAGCTCAAAACCAAACATTTTGACTGCATTCTGAATCACACCAATGCAAACCTAACGATGATCCACGTTTTTATTTGGGAAACGGACTGGGGAGGAGGGGGGAAATGGGAAGGGGGAGTTGTTTGCAGTTTAATCAGAACCATTTTGACTGCATTCTGAATTAAACCAATGCCAACCGATGGGGAAGTCCTTTCCAAACAGACATAGAAATGGAACCATCAGGTGGATTTAAATGTATTGTCAAGACTTCAGTGACTCTAAGCACAAATTTGCTCAAGGTTTTGTGGCCCCATATATGTATATGATGACTGCACTACATTAACCGTTTAGTATCCTCGTTTTTATTTATATTTGCCCTTGATATAGATCCAATCCAGAAAAAAAAAAGTCTATCAACTTTTTTTTTAAAATCTTGAATATTGTAAGGATCGGAACAGACTGCCTTTAAAATCTGTGCATTAAATGCGGATACAGAAAACAGTGGCTTTAGATTGTTTTTATTAAAAACAATCTTTCACTTCGAGATAATGCAACGCCCCCTTTTTTTTAGTTTCAAGAGCTAGTTCTTCGAACCAAAAAATAACATAAAAATGTTGTAAAAGTAAACATGTTAAATAAGGAAAAGTAAGGGGGAGAGGGTGGCGGGATTGCATCTATACCTATTGGAATGGCAGTTTTTTCGAATTGAGTTTCCAATACTTTCAAAGTGTATCCAAATTAAACATCTTTAGGGTTTCCTCCCTCCGTAATACTCTCACAAATTACTTACATTTCGACTAAAATTAAAGTAAAATATAAAGAACATATCTTTTAAAAATGCATCCATGTAACAATCCTGTTTGTCCTTTTGCATACTTGTTAAAGTTATTTTTCTCCATCCACCAAGGTGTTTATTCCAACTCTAGCATTCTGATCTACTTCATATTAAGTTTCAGTACTTGAATTTGTCAGAAAAAAGAATTCTGTAGTTAGCTAATTTGTTTGTTTAGTTTTTCTTTCTTTAACCTTTAATATAAGGCGTTTACAAACTGTATAAATACGTGCCACCAAACCTTAACCAAAAATAATTACAAAAAATGGAATGGTTGCTGTAGTTTAGAGAATTAACTATAAAACAGAACTGGAGAGCGAGAGAGAGAGAGAGCAGGACACAAAACAAAATAGTAATTTTATTGTGAATTATTTACGTCTGACGTTTCTAGGCAATAGTGGAGAAAATAATGAATGAATCGAGCGCCGAGAATTTGCTACTAACTTTTGTTCTGAATGTTTTTGGATATTTGGATGTTTTGTATTTATGTGGTGAGAGTGAAATATATTATATCTATATGACGACAGAATTAGGTGTACTTTCGTCTTATATTTAAAACACCAAAATTATCATCAGATATGTTCGATGCAAAATGTCAAAAATCCTTTCTAGTGGATGTTCTGAAGTCGATTGCCTTTCTGGACCTATGGTTCTGAACAGATGGGACAGCTTTGGATTCACAATGAAATAGCTGAGTTTACACCGGTTTTAAAAACAGACAAAACGCTGTAGTTGTTTATTTAAATTAGGACTGTGATTCAATTGATTAAGCCGCGGGCTTGCTTCCTTTCGGACCAAGAATAAGTATTTTCCTGGCCAATAACAAGTATCATTTCCCCATGTGTTAATATAAAAAACGACACTGCAGCTACATTACGCTAGATTTTCAGAATAGGAGTTCCCCAACCCTTGTGCATATGTAATCTCTTTAGATAAAAAAGAGAAAGAGGATGGAATATTAATGATAAACCAAAGGGCTTTCAGTAAAGAAAGAATCCCGTGAGCCCGATCCTGAGCTCAGGGGGGAGTTTTGTCTGAGAAATCAGTGCAGGGCTGGGCCCTCTAATGATTGCCCCTGTTCCAAACTGAGATGTGTGGAAATAAAAAGAAGAGAGATTTTCAAGATAGCTTAAAGTCCAAGCCAACGCCGGTTGCAATTCACGTGGCTTCCCGCAGAAAGCTGGCGGAATTCAAGCGCAATAAAAACTTGCCTATTCCGGATTTCCTTACACACAGTTCTCAGTCGTCTCCCTGTGGTTCTCGTTTGCCATTTTTTGACTCGTAAGTGTAATCAAGTTCCTTGAGCTCAAAGGTACTAACTAAGCTGTAATGTCCAACGCGGGCATGCACTTCTTAAAAAGTCCATATTCTGTATCCACAAATCCATTTATGGCTACACGTATTTAGCCACTTTTTAATAACTGCTGGGTAGCAAATGTCTCCCAGATCGGAGCACCGGCGAATCTTTTATTATTACTGGGGCAGCATTAACAGAGAACTGATTTTTTGGTGGAAATCAGAATTGTGCTCAGTTATCCAGGAGGGGTGGTAATTTTTATAGCAGTCCCTGCATCAAACTGTGAGAGAAAGATCAGTGACTGGAGGTGTAAGTTAAATTCCGAAGGAAATTTTTCATCTCTGGGTTTTCCCAGTAATATCCCCTGTCACCAGCAGTAGCATTTTTAGGAGTTACCAGGCATTGTTTACACTCCATCTTTATTTTAGGGTTGTTTCCAAAGCGGACAGCTACACGGCTCCAAAATCAAGTGGAGAAGTTAAAAAAGAAAAAAAAAAAAAAAAAGTTTGCAGACGCGTCACATATGATCGGGGAATATGGATCTGGCTGTTTAATGGGGCGATTTGTTAGAGGGTCGATTTAGACTTTTTATTTTAAACCTGGAAGAGACGAAAATAATTAATCAAACTAAAGAAAATGCTGACCATGATGAAGGATTCTCCCAACAAGAATAAAACTAAGTTTACGTTTTCTAGAGGTGTATTTAAAATTAATAATAATAATAATTAATATTAATAGTGCACGGTTTTAGTCCTTGCACGACGGGGGGAAGGGAGAAGAGATTGTGTACATCATTAGTTTTGTTTTCCCTCACCAAAAAAAAACCCCACTGTTGCTAAAACAGCTCCCAGTTACCCCCAGCTTCCAACCTCCCCCCATCCTCCTTCGTTATGAGTATATTAAACTATGGAGCCTGTCCCGGTTGAAATGTACAAGCGTTTATATTATAGCCCACTTCGAAAAGAACTGCAACTGCATTTTGGCAAATGAACTGATCAATAAAAAGGCCACGATTGTCTTTTAATCTCCCCCTCCCTCTGTCTTTCCGATTGAACCAAGGCACCGTCTGAGGACAACTGTTTATCTTGAGAGCCTAAAATTGGTGAAGCTCCCTGACGGTATACATCGGCCTCCTCTACTCACCACTTACACACCGTGCGCTGTTCTTGTTTTCAAAGAACCCTCTTCTGCAATAATGAAAAGTGTATTTGTAATTAAAAAAGCATTCGGAGGCAATTTAAGTCCATTTCAGGATTCCTCCCACACCCCCACTCCATACAAGCACTACACAACCTGCGGGTTTAAAAAGCAAAGGGAAGGCCAACATCCTCCTGAATCTTCGCCATGTCCCCCACTCACAGCTCTGGAGTCATGCCCGTGGAAAGCAATTCTGATCCTCCCCTGTGTTAGTTTGTATTTGATCATTATGGAGAATGCGTTTGTTGGAGCCAATGGAAGGTTAAATTAATCCACATGCCTCTTGAGTCAGACACTTTTGATTAGGGCAATAAAGTCAGAAGCACCTGTCTTTACATGATGGCTGGGAAGGGTTTTTATTGTTGGTTGCACGGGTAAAAGGCCAATCCATTTTTTTAAATATAGGTACAGTTCTGCTGCCAGATTCGCTATCGGGCACATGTGGTTTGGAGCAAGAATTTAAATGAGGGATCTGTTTAAAATCACGTCTCTGCCTATTCCCTTTAAATTCCAGCCACCCAAATTCTGTTCTCCCATTACAGCCAGGGTGTTACAGAAGGCGTTGGAGGGTGAGTTCAAGACAGTCCGTCAGTCACCTAGTCTCCGCAGTACGGCAGTCTGATTTCCAGTATTACTTGATCCTGATTATTGTCAGACCCTTAGGTTCCAGGTAGATTGGTGGGGACGGGGAGCAGGTTTTCCGTTTGTTTTATTTTAAACATTATCTGATCGCCTTGGGTTAGGGTTATACATTCCTCCCTTGCTTTTCAACACAATGAACCAAACAATCGCCGAGGCAATTATACCTGAAATGTTAAGCTAATTTTTGTGGGGCGAGGAGGAAATCCCACCTGTAGGTTTGTTTTTTAAAAGGACCGGTTAAATCCATAGATATCTATATCTCATGTTCTGGTTCATCAATAATAGCTTCCTTTATTAAAACGTAAGGGCTGTTTCGAAGCTACACGCTGCCACTTTATGCTAATTATTTAGTTGTTGCATTTCTTTCAAGCTTGGAAAAGAAACATAAACTGCCTTTGTCAGATTTGCGGTGGCTAATCAGATTCAATTCCTGGGTCTCCAGCCCTACCTGTGTCTATTTCTCTGTCAAAGTTATTTTTTGGTTGCCCATCACAGTAGCATCTGATCTCAAATGCTTCAATGTTTGAGCAGCAGGCAATGTAGGGGTAATAGAGCCAAGGCAAATAAACACAAACCCCAAAACTATCTCCAGGGGATTTTAAAAAGGAAATAATGGAAACATTTATACAGATGGTAGATTGAATGAAACCTTGCTTTTGTAAAACCTACATTTAGCACCTAATTTGACTTGAGAATTAAGAGTCTGGCATTGATAAGCTGTTGTTGTGTAGCCAAACCCAGTGGGTAGACTGACACAGGGCCTGGTGCTGCAGCAGCCCTCACACAGGTGAAACTCCC